TGTTTCCTTGATTAGGATCCTTTTGTTTCTGCTGAAAACGTGACCTTGAGAGTTAATAAACGTATTTTTGAAAGTCCTTTTAAAGATCTGAAAGACTGCTATGACGTGTGTGGTAGGAGGGTTGGGAGTGGAGGGAGCACGTGCTGGGGGGAATTTTAGGTCTTATCTGCTGCAGGAGCAACCAAACAATGATGTCCTCACAAACCACGAAGAAGCTCGTGTTTGCAAAGAATATCAGGGGACTAAGCAAAAGTTGTGCGATAAGCACCAGAAAAGAAATAATCTCTGTTTGGATGGGTCACGGACCTGGGACAAGCAAATCCGTACAGACCTCTGAAGTCCCCAAGTGTGCAGCAAATGAAGGAGTAGGAATGGATTATAAATCAATTTGCTTCCTTAGCAGATTTTTGGATTAAGACCAACAAGGGGATGAGCAGACAGGAAGTTTGGTAACTCAGGTTTTAATGGAATGGAAGAATTTTAAGAGAAAGCCAAAACAACTTAAATTTTTTTTTTTTTTTTTTTTTTAAGACTCAGCTGTCTATTGTGAAAACCAAAGTAGGAGCTTTTTTGGTTTGACAGCATAAAGTCAGGGGGCTATTGCCTTAGGTCAGCAAAGACACAAAATGTGGCATTTAGAGACACTATACCTATCACCTAGGAAAACACCCAGCACAAAGAGAGATACATGATGATTCTGGAACAAATGAATGATTTAACTCCACCATCCAAGTATGCAAAGAAACAGTTTCTTTCACTTAGCTGTATTCTACTTTTGTTCATGATGTTACTGGAACTACTCGGGACTAGTCTGCGAACAGCTTACAGTCTCCTCTCTTACATCACTTGTTATTGTTCCTTCTACGTGTTTGAGGCTCGCCTCATCCTCTAAAGGGCAAGGAATTCCTTGAGAGCCGGGACAGCGTTTTTGACTTCCACATCCTCCAATTTGCCTACGATTGCCAGCATACGGTACCCATGAGTCCACAGTGTCACAGAACAGGGGGCAGTGAATGCTTCCTGCCATGTTGTCTGCAAATATTTCGGCTCTGCTGGCTGTACCATCTCTCCTGTTGGCAGCAACAGCAGCCACAGACACAAAGTGATCGGGTGTGGCTGTGTGCCAATAAAACTTGATTTACAAAAATAGGTGGTGGCTGATTTGGCCCATGGGCCTGAGTTTCCAATCCCTGCTCTGGACTCCCAGGTCAGAAGGAAACACGTGTCTTGGAAAGAACACTGGACGAGGCTCCAGGCTGGACACCGGATGTGCCTGCATCTCCTTGCCTTCATCCGTACAACCCGCTTCTGGCTTTGAAATCACTGACTTCTAAGAATGAATGTCAGTATATACTGAAAACATGACTCAGGACATCACCCCATCACCTTATGGTGTGCGCTGCTAACAGACTCTTTGGATCTGAAACACATGGTCAAGGCACAGGCCAGTAAGACTTTTGTGGGCTGAGAAAAGGGCTAGAAGGTTCACAGATACTATCCTGACTCCCTACCTCCTACCACCGCCCCCCCAACCAATAGCCTCATGAGCATAACAAACAGAAAACAAGCCCAGAAAGAAGCAGTTTGTTCACTCTTACGTACACCATTGGCTTCCCAATAAAGTTTGAACATAGGGGTCTTGTTTCACTGTGTTCCATGTTAAATTTTCTCCCATAAACTGTGGCTATTCTAACTTATTAGCTTCAACAACAGTTCTTCTTATCCATTGAAAAATAAGGGGATACCTTTAGAAATAAGTTATGTGTTATATTTAAATAGATCTAATCTGTGGTTTGTATTTAAGCCATTACCTCCTAAACTTCTTTTATTGATGATTTTAATTTCCTATAAGGCCAATACCTAAGTAAACTATTGTAGCTTTGGGGGTGCCTGGGTGGCTCAGTGGATTAAGGCCTCTGCCCTCAGCTCAGGTCATGATCCCAGGATCCTGGGATTGAGCCCCGCGTCGGGCTCTCTGCTCATCGGGGAGCCTGCTTCCTCCTCTCTCTCTGCCTGCCTCTCTGCCTACTTGTGATCTCTGTCTGTCAAATAAATAAATTAAAACCTTTAAAAAAAAAAGAAAAAAAAAACTATTATAGCTTTGCACCTTTAAATTGTATGCTACATCTCAATTCTGAGAAATTAAAAAGTGAGGAAAAAAAAGAATGGAAGAAATAGGGAGAGATTTTTAATGGACTTGGATTCCCAAGATTTATATTTCTACCTGTTCAGGATTGCCAGAATTTTAAATTGTACATAGGAATTACCCAATGAGCGCGATCCCTACTAAACAGAATTTTACAAGAATCTGAGCTGTCCAAAATGACAACTAAAAGGGTACGAGTGAGGGGACAGGGATATCCCAAGGGAAACAAAGGAGCCTGGAGTTGTAGTAAGGAGGGTTTGAATCACGACTAAGTGTTGGATTCTAGACTTTTTACCCCTCTCATTTCCCCCTTAAGATGATGGATTTGGTTAAATCCGATGCTGGATTTGGTTAAATTAGTTAATACTTACATCTGGAGATTTTTCAACCTTTGAGTGTATCATTAGAGGATTAATGATGAATAATTTGTGGGGATTCTCTCATCCTGGAGGAGTTAATGCATTTCCCAAAGAAAAGCCTAGATTCCCCTCTTTTGTGTGTTCTTGAGAGAGCCCGGGCATCCGTGGGTACCAAGGTCCATCACTGGGCTGGTATGATAGTTGACAGAGTGTCTTTGATGAGGCTACATCTATCACGGAACAATTTTGATATTCAGGAATAATATAAAAAAAATAGTTGCACAATTTTTAAGAAACTAATATTCTAATATTTATAAATCCACGAAACAAGGGAGAAATAACTCTGTATGTCTAAATAACATAACTTTTCTGATATATGGGCTTATCTTAGATTCCTAGGAAGTCTGCGGTAAGACGGCATGACAGAGGAGGTGGATGGGACAGAGAGTGCTCGGGAAGCCAGGTCCCACGAGGGCAGCCCTACTAGCAGCGGCCAATGGCACAGCCGTGACTGTCCCATTGAGCCCATCACCCAACCCCTATTTGACCTTTGCTCTCTGGGGCTCTGTCTCCTCCGTGACTTCCCCAGTTCAAATGACCTTCCACATAAGATGCATATCTCAATAGTAAGCTGCCTCTAAGAGCTGTCCTGAGAATTATAAACAAGTAGACAGTATTTGCAAAATGTCTAGTCCTGCTGTATAGACCATGCAAGAAACAAGACAAGAAAGGCATGTATAGACAGGAAAGGTCTGGCCTGGGAAACACAAGACAGGTCCTTTATATTCTTCACAGTAATATCCTGACCCCATCCTCTTTTTCTAACACTCTGGGGAAATTCACATGTTTTGCCTAAGGTGTCTGTCTCTTTATAAATCCCCTGATTTTTCTTCTTTTCTTTTCATGGTTTCTTTTTTTAGATTGAAAACAAACAAACAAACAAACAAACCATATATACATACATATACACATATATAAAGGCAGAGAATCCCAGTGTAGCCATCACAGCTAGTCTTATTTTATGCACACCCCCCCCTCCAAAACTCACCCCCAATACTGTGGGGATCATTCTGAATCAAATCTCGGACACAGATCATTTCATGTTTCACAATCACAGAAGTCCTACTTCTTTGGCATTTCATTTTCTTGATTCAACACCCCTGATGTAAGTGATTTGTAACACTAAAACTGAGGCAACATTGGAGGTACACTAGGAGCCAGAGAAACATTTAGAAACAAAGAATTTAAACAAAAAAGGGACAATGAGTCAAGACAGAGGCAGTTAATGTTGCCTGTAGGACTCTGTGTTGTCATGCTGTTAGGAGCACCACTCCTTCCTGGGGCCGGCCGGAGCTCTGTCCTTGGGTGCTCACTCATGGAGGAAGGGGGCATTTCTTGCCTTGCCCTGACCAGGTCTGACTTTTCCTGTCTCCGTGCCTCCCTTCCACTACTGAACACATAACCACCTTCAGCACTGAGCCACCTCCCTGCAAAGCCTCCCTCCATTCCTCTGGTCCAAATTTCCTTCTCTCTGCTTTGCTCCAACAGTGCTGAGTTATCCTAATACACAGTCAGTGCTCAATAAGTGCGCATGCACTGGATGAACGGGACACAGGACTGACTTCATTCTGCCTTATAGCTTAGTGGGTGGTTTTCACATTGGTCTCTCCCACGAAATTTTAAATTCCTCAAGAAAATAATTGTGTTAAAGCACTGCTCTGTCCCCCTACTTCCTCAAGCATTTACCTGTGCATAGTGGGTGTTTGACAAATGTCTCATGAATGGAGAGATGCTCCAGGAAGAGAGCTACCCTGGCCATGTGGCTGGAGGGTTAAGTGTCTGGAGAATGACTTCATGTAAATTATGGGCAGACTAGCACAAATACAACGTGTAGATTTTTTTCTCTGGTTTCCACTGGTTTCTTGTCTTAGGGAAGCAAATGTGGGCTTGTCACCATAAAAGTAAAAGAATTTGGGAGTGGTTTCCTTCGTCCAAATGACCCAGCAACACCTGCCTCCGACACCATAATCGTGTTTTTCTCTCCCACCTTCTCCCAAGGTGAAGGCTACATTGAGTTACTGCCCATAGGATGGAATTACAGGTCTGAATCGGAGACAAAGGTTCTTTATGCTGTGCCTGGTCATTAATTAGCTGCTGGAAACTTCAAGACAGGGCCATTAGCATGCTCATAAACCTTTTATTTTAAATGTTTTCGCTTAGCCATGATTCTGATGTGACTCTCCTTGTAAGCTGGACGTAGGACATTTGTTTCTTAACATTTCTGAGGCTCATTAACTACTCCATCCCAGCGGCTCATTAACTAGCCCATTAGGGATTTCACTTCATTCAGGCAGAAGCCTCCACTTGCCCTCACAGAGCCTTTGAGGGCGCCTAATTGGGAACGGTGTGAGGCCTGCCGCAAGGCCGGGGAGAGAGCGGGGCTTTGTCAGGTCCCCCTGGACGCTGGATGGGCGGCGGAGGATGCGCTCACCTACCTGCTATTCTCCCAATGGGCATGGCGTGCTCCTCGGGCGGGGAGACGGACACCATGATGTGGTTCATGTAGGCCAGGTCTTCCCGATGCGAGAGGTTGATGGGCTTCCCTTCCCTATGCAGCCCGTCCTCGGAGAGCCTGGACTGTTTGAAATCCACGGAGTGCCGGGGGTTCAGGATCAAGGGGTGCATGATGGGACTGGGCATCAGCTGGATCACGCGGGTGCTCTCCTGCCGGGGGCTCGACGGCTTCTGGTGGGGCTCGGAGGACGGCGGGCAGTGGTTATTCTCCATGGGAGACACTGACAGCGGGTAGGACTCCTGGTGGTTGTTCTCCTGGTGGAGCCTCGGCCCCTGGGCCCTCTCGGCCGGGGAGAGGCGGCGGATCATGTTGTCCAGGGGGGACCGGAGGGGCCGCTGCTCGGGATCGGGAGAGGGCCGGTGATTGGCTGTGACAGGTGATCTAGACCGGTGCAACAGTTCAATGGTGGGGGGGTTGTGGTGCACGTTCTCCACTGGGGGCCGTGGGGTCCTCTGGACACAATTATCTGCGGAGCAGAGGGAGAGACAATCACTGACCCCAGTGAACTGTCAGGAGAGGGACCCCGCCGCGGTTCGAAAGGGAGTGAACAGTGAGTGGAGCCTGGGCGTGTGCCGGACAGACCGTTTGTCCCTTGAGACAGAGTGTCTTTTCCACTGCTTAAAAAAACAACTGAAGTGCACATACTTGAAATTCTTTTCCTACAGTAGACAGGCTAAGAATGTCCACAAGCATTCCATTAAGCACTTACTAGTGGCTTGTGGGCACAGGGAAGCCAAACCTGTGTTCTTTATCTTTGGCTTTGGTTGCTTGACTCTTCAACGTGGCTTCTGGGGTCCCTAAGGGTTTCTTTCTAGATGCTTTCACTGACTTACTAAATGTATATATTCTCTACCTCTGGGATGTTGTTATTGGTGTTAATGATACCATTATTTCTACTACTAAAGTAGCTACTATATCCTTGGTACTGGATTATATTGTTCAGAATGTATCATACTCCTCAGTAGGAGGTCCTAATACCAGTACTAGTTCACAGGTGATAAAATGGGAGGCATAAAGAAATTAAGCAACTTACTCAAAGACACACAGCCAGTGAGGGAACGAGACCCAGACTCCAGTAAGATTCTAGAATCTAGGTACCCGTTACAGTATCTGCCACTTTGCTGTATGTAGAAGCCAAGGGGAAAAGCGATGGGAAAACCTGCTTTAAGGATGGACAGTGGGTCTCATTTACAGACTGGCAATCTTGTACTTGAAAGAAGCTTTAGGATCACTTGGTTTCTGAGTGCACAGACCCTACAAATGCTCAGAGACAGGCAGAGGTAAGTAAGGAGAAGGAGGGAAGGACACCTCCAACCCTGCCTCCATTGCATGCCACTTGAACTTTCAAGCTGGTGACAGCTGAGCAGGGACGGCATTGGGAACAGAAGCAGTCCTGTGGGCTGGGTTGTGGGTGGGTTGGGGGGGCGGGGCTGGCACACACGTGGCTTTAGGAGTCCCTGCTTAGGGGGAGGAAGGATGAAAATCTGCCTACAAAAATGGAGTTTTCTTCAGTGCCTCCCCTCATCTTAATGAGGTTTCTCTGGCCACATCTGTTCCCAGAGCTCTCACTAAAGGATGCACATGCTTTCAGGTCCTTGTTCTGGTCCATGACTCTGAGTAAAGCAAGTCAAAGATACCTCTCTTTGTCCCTTATGACAATATCTATATGACGAACACATAAAGGGAATCTAGGACTCTGACAGGGTTAGTAAACAGAGACTGAGCTGGTAATGTCTTAAAATTTTACACATGATTAAGAGAAAAATGAGGACTCCTCTGGATCTTGGTTATGTGAAACAGTGAGCGTGTCGTTCACGATGACTAAAAGAGCATCTGCTTGAAGGCAAGGGTTTATTTTGTAACTACTGTGTAACCTGTTGCCAAGAATTTAGAAGTGCTTACCTATTGGAATAGCTATCGGTGGGAGCCTGGCTTAATTAATGATACTGTATCTTTAAACAATGGAGGATCAGGCAGGTATTAAATGGAAGGAGGAGTGTCTTAATATTCTGCCAAGAACTGGTCTCCAGGTTCTATGATTAGGTATGCAAAGCCAGGTGAAGTATTTTGGTATGCTACCACCTTTCTATGATAAAGGAGAAGGGAATTCCAGTTTCCAGAATGACAGAGTGGCTTGTATCAAACTAACCTTCCGACATACAGTAATGATGGAATCCGGATACAATACATTTACAAAAGTTATTTGAAGGTGCTGGAGAAAACTGAAGGGCATTTTATTCTTGAAAGAAGAGAACCGCACAAGAGAGATCCAAATTTATATAGCCCTGGGGGTTTTCCCCAGTCCCTGTAGCAGTGGGCAGTTGGAAAATGAACCAGAAGTTGTATAATCTGTCAGGGAATAGAGTATGGGCTGCCAGAATGGCAAAAAATCAAGAAAGCAAATCCTATATAAAGGGGAGAGTCTCAGGGAGAATATAGAAATTTCCCTCAAATCCCTAACATGTGCTCCTGTATAGCATACGTGCAAGGGGACCTCTAAAGAGCTCAGTAGAAAGCAACAACTGTATGGCTGAAAGATAAGAGCAGGAACGTCAGCTACTGGCCACTGTACTGGAGACAGAATTGAGAATTTGAGTCCTAGCAAGAGAGCCTCTCTAAACACCTCAGGCTGCCTATCATCCCAGAACAGCCACACCTTAGGAGTAAAGACTACATCCAGGTCGAAGGGATTTGCCTGAGGACTACAGGCAAAACTGAAATAGATCTGCTCTAACCAAATGTAAGACCAAGCCTCTACAAACTCAAGGTGACTTACTAGTCGTTTACCTGCTAGAGCAAAACCCAACATTCTTCAGAGGAATATAACATAATCTAAGTCTCTACAACGTATCATCTATAACGTTCAGTATTCAATAAGGATTCTCGGGACATGTGCAAAAAACAGAAAAATGTGACCCATAATCAAGAGGAAATGCAGTCAACAGAAACAGACTCTAAGATCACCTAGATATTGGTTTAGCTATTAGAAATAAGTGTAATCACTGGAAGGAAATGATGGTCATAATGAGGTATAACAGATGGAGGCTGTCAGAAGAGAAATAGAAACTTAAGAAGAAGATTCTAATACTGAAAAACACAATATCTGAAAGGTTGGACTGGATGTACTCAACAGCAGATTGGAGATGACAAAAGGAGGGGTTAGTAAATTTGAAGACACATCAATAAAAACTAGAAACAAATAAACGAATAGATCCTCAGTGACTTGAGGAACAATATTAAATGGTTTAATGGACATGTAATTGGAACCCAAGAAGGATAGAACAGAAAGAATGGGACCAACCCCTCCCCACCAACCCCCCACAAAAAAAACCCCAAATCTGAATAATGACCAAATGCTCTCCAAATTTGGTAGCAACAACAACAACAACAACAACAACAGGAAACTTAAAGATCTAAGATGCTCAGCAAATACTAAGTAGGATAAATACAAAAGCTACATCCAGGCCTTCACAAACTGCTGAAAACCAAAGATAAAGAGAAAATCCTGGGGGCACCTGGGTGGCTCAGTGGGTTAAGCCTCTGCCTTCAGTTCAGGTCATGATCTCAGGGTTCTGGGATAGAGCCCCACATCGGGCTATCTGCTCAGCAGGGAGCCTGCTTCCCCCTCTCTCTCTGCCTGCCTCTCTGCCTACTAGTGATCTCTCTTGCTCTGTCAAATAAATAAATAAATAAATCTTACAAAAAAAAAAAAAAAAAAGAAAAGAAAATCCTGAAAGCAATCAGAGGGGGAAAAAAAGATACACTATGTACACAGGAAAAGCTATACTAATTGTGGCTAACTTCTTTTTTAAACAGCTAGAGAGAAAGTGAGAGTGTACCCAAGCATGTACACAAGAAGGATATGGATGGAGACCCACAGACTGAAAGGGAATTAAGAGACACATCAATCATCTGCAATGTATAGACCCTTGTTTGATTCAAGGAAACTGTAAAAGCACATGTGAGGTAGTTGGAAAAAAATGTAAACATTAATAAGACATTTGATGATACTAAAGAACTGTTAGTTTTCAGGTGATGTGATGGCTTTGTGATTACGATTTTATAAAGGGTCTTTCTCTTTTCAGACCTGTACTGATATATTTACAGATGAAACTATACATCTGGAATTTGCTTTAAATTAATTCGTGATGGTGAAGCAGAGATTATGGGCACAGAGGAAACAAGATTGGTCATGAGTTGATCACTGAAGCTGGTGATGGCTACGTGGTGGCTCATTAAATAATTCCCTCGAGTTTTGCCTAAGTTTGATATTTTCCACTATAAAAAGTGTTTTTCCTTTTTTTCTTCCTTTTTTTTTTTTTTTTAAAGAACTCAGTCAACCTTGCAAGGATAAAGATTAGGATAACAAGTACTAAATTCTTCACTTAAATCCAAATGCAAATAAATGCTTACAGGATACATCACTGATTAGGCCCATGTAGTTCATTTTAATGCCTGAGATCATGAGCATGATAGAAATGATCTACCATCTTTTGGGGATGAGGGCAAGTTTTCTCTCCATGGCTACGATGGACCTTAACTCTGCTGTCCCCCAAAACGAATTTATCTCTTCTCCATCACAGAACATGATCATGATAAGCAACTACCTAAGACAGCTGTGTTTTCAAGTTTTGTGCATTTCTTCTAAATGCCATTTACAGACTACCTCCCTTCACTTAAAAGCTTATTAAGGTTTAAAAATGCTTAAGGTTGATGAAGACCATGTACTGAAAAACCCTATTTCCTGAATCCATTTCCTGTCTTACAAATTTCAAAACAGACACAGGCGTTGGCCAGGAGTCTGGTCACGTGAAGGCTCTCTTTGATGTGTCGGGCTTCAAGGCTCAGGGTATGGGTGTGCACTCGGGGCAAGCCTTAGGAAGTCGGGGTGGACTCTGAGAGGAAGGATCTTCATGCCAAGGGTAAAAGAGGAACTGATGTAACGTCCTGGAGAGATTTCACTCTCTGTTCCTGCCCAGATCTTTGGGAACAATGAAGGAGGGAGACAGTGCTCTGGATAATCCAACTCAGATTTTACTTTTGACTCAGGGTCCAGGCAGGAACAGGAATTGGAGAAGCTTGATTTATTTACTTCTCTGCAGACACCACTCAAAGAGGAAGTACTTGATGAAGTTGATAACATTAATGGTAGAGAACTGGATCCAAGGGTATTTAATTCCAGGCTCCTGGTGGTCTGGGCACAACCACTGTCAAGGCTGAAAGGCCTGCAATGAGAGCTTCCCGGCTTTGTTTCAGTTTGCAAAGCATGCGCCCACGTACGGAGTAGGCGCTGACGTTCCTACCCTGCTGCCCCTGTTATTAGAAGTTGGCAACAGCATGTGGAAACTTATGAGACCAGAGCCGGCAGGCAGAGAAGCTCCGGACACAGGAAATGCACTGAGCGGACAGTGGGTGCATTAAATCCCCCAGATGTAGGAGTCTTCTGTCTAAAACAAGAAGATTTTT